CTCAACTGAGATGAAAGAGTCTGCAGAGCATAAGGACTACTATCGCCAGCTGCTAGGATGGTGGAATTGGTGTTCAACCACAGGATGAGGAACTTGCAGAAGAAGCTGCTTCATTCACACAAAGTATATGTAATGATTGTTTTTTAATGAATTTCCTGAATAAAGTGTGGGTGCACCTGATTAAAGATTTTTAAGTTATTTCCTAATAAAGAATAAGATTTTGTCAAAACCAAACATATCTTTAACCCAGATACACAAAAGAAACAATTAGCGCCGTTTCTGTGTCTTTACCAGGAAAGAAGAGTTTGCAGCAGTGACTGTTCCATGAGGTTTAACGAAGGCAGGCTTTAGTTTGGCCATTTGCTCCATGGATGATGGCCGTATGCCGTTGTCCTTTGACACAATATCACGACCTGAGGAGACATGAATGCCACTCTATTGTAAACATTTTTTTTAAAGAGGAAAGCCTAAAATCTAGCCCATTCCTCTTATATTTTGTTCGATAATAACTAATATTTTCAATTTGAACCCTAACTCTACTTTCCAAATTGACTGAAAGCGATTTTTTCAAAAGTGATAGATGTCCAAGCGCAGTCAGATTATTTTAGCTTCTGCTAATTATTAATTATATTTATTTCAGATAGAATTAGTCCATATCATGCAAAAAACATAACAAAAAATCAAAATGTATAATTCAAAATTTCTCAAAGCCAATATGAAGTCTTTATATATTCACAATGTATAACATAATCTACAGTAAAGCTGGGTTTACCTGGCACTTTAAAGGAGATGACATCCTGCAGCAGCCCTTCGTCCTGGGCTTTTTTAGCCAGTGTGTGTGATCGCAGTGCAAACTCATCCTGCTCCACTCTGGAGACCCCAAATGCAGCAGCCAGACGATCAGCACTGTGGCCCATTGTTTCTGCTGTGGAGAACTCCGCAAAAGCAGGAAGCTAGTACGGCACAACGGACAATTTGAGGGTTAAATACTATATGGTGTGAACAGAAGTAAGCCACTCTGAAATCAACTACAACTGAAAGTTGTTAAATCATATATACCTCCGGGGAGAGGTGTGCAAGCCGGATGCTGCCAATCAGACTGAGCCTCTGGCCGAGTGTCTTTGCCTTGTTTAGGGACAACATGGTTTTCCTCATCTTACGGCTGTGACGAATGGGAACGTCTGACATGAATTCCACTCCGCCTGCTACAACAGCATCACACTGACCGGCAGCAATCAGACCAACACCTGGAGCGATGGATAAAGAAGATGAAGATTAAAGATTAAAACAACCATTAAAAACCAAAAGTAAAATCAAAGAATTGCATGAAAATAGGTCAAGATCCATCGGCTTTACCTACTTTTCCTAATATAATGAATGTGATTTGGTTTAACACAAGAGGACACATCTGATCAGTATACTACGCCCCCTGTCATTTTTACAGACTTCACCTCCAACCTGCCAAATGTTGGTGTATGACAGTTTATTTTGATGCTTAAACATTAAGACCGGATGCCTTTTTTCATTTAGGATTTAATTTTATTCATCTTGCTCCTTGCCCATAGGAGCTGTAAACAACTAAAAAGCGCATATAGCAGTTTATCACTGTTGCAGTGTACACAACTGTTTTGCAACTGCAATGCAGGACTACACTGAATATCAATAATAATAATAATAATAATGATGATATTTAGAACAAATTATACAGAGTCTCAGTGAAGAGGCTTCTTTTCCGGACATACTTGAGGTCATTGCCTGGTTGGAGGAGATGCAGGCCATGGTGACTGTGTGAGCTGGGATTTTGTCAGAGAAGCCTGCACCCAGTGCTGCCTGAAATCAAAGTAAACATAGAGCCACATTATACACAAATGTAATTGTATTATGCATTTACAGATAATAAATGCACCACAATTATATTTTAGTACGCAATAACAAAGTTAAAGTTAACATTTACAATATGTGATATGTGTATGGGAGAGTGCTTATGTGTGCATACCTCTCTTGCTACGTTGCTGGTTTTAACCTCTTGAACGACTGTTCCATATATGATGTAGTCTACAGCATCTTTTGGTATACCTGTCTGTTTTAGCAGGCCCCTATATAAAAGAAAAAAAAAAGAAGATATAAAACAAACACAAACACACTTCATAAAGACCTTGTACAATCTCTTTCTAGTGTAAACTGATATACTTCATTCATCTCCATTGCACTTTGCCCTCACATTACTTTTAAAGCTTACAATGTTTACTGCTTCATAATGACTAGAAGAGTCTAAGAGATATTTTAACAGATCATCAGCAGTTCAGAGTGACACAGTACAACATATAAATGAAAAGTAGTTTTTAAAAATCATTCATTCAAATCATGGTAGCCTTGTCTAAAAAGTGTCCAAATATACAATTATTTTTGCAGGGTTTCTTTGTGGAGCAAAAAACCCTGCAAGCATTTACCCATTTAAACCTCTGATTCAGTTAGAACAAGTTCAAAACTAGATCTGCAAACTGTTATTTAATTTGCAGATAAACATTTGACATTGACTTTGCTGGTCTCAACAGACAGTCATCAGAAAAACAATGCAACCATAGACTTACTGCAGAGCTGCTCTGGCCAGGTCATGTGGCATTAAGTCAGCATACCTGTAGAGACCAACCAAAAAGTTTTTTTCTTTTGTTTAAGCCACAAAAATAATTTTCCACTACAAAATGTTCTTGACTGTTTTTTAAGTGTTCAGTACTCAGTGTAGCACAATACAATAAACGTAAAGTGAGAACACAAAGAAAAGAGCCGAGACATACGTGGTTCCAGACAACAGGAAAGGGGTTCGAACTCCTTCCACCAGCACTATGTTCTTTACACCGGGTCGAGCCAGCGTCTTCTTGCTCTTTGTTTGAACTGAAAGAAAATAATTAAAAATAAGACTTACAGCAAGGGCATCTCAGCATCTGCTAGGGGAAGTAGGTTTATACATATTATGTCCAGGCAAATAAATCAGCGATTAAAGGCTTTGGTTACCATTCTGCTTTCAAAAAAAATCTATAATACACATAGCCATAATCTGGATAAAAATTATCATTATAGTAAAAAACTTACCTTGAGACTGAAGCTGGGCTGTTGTACTGAGAGATCGTGCACCTTAGACAAAGAAAAATAAAGAAATTATCATTATAAACCTAAAAGTACCAGATTTTAAATGCTAATATTGAACTGGAAGCAGCTGTACTGCATCTTTAATTTCTGACTCTTAGTCATGTATTTCCTTAATTACTTATGGATATTTAAAATATATTAAACTGTTATGGGAACAAATGACAACTTACCAAATCGCACTGCCCAGGAAGAGCTGACTGAGCAGCTCCGAATTGGGTTCATCAACATGGAAGCCATTCTGTTCTCTGTGGCAAGAAATGTTACTGCAAAGTTTATGGAAATGTTTAACATTTCAGATTCAAAACATTTTAAATTAACTTGGATATTTTAGGACTTCTTTGTGTTTTTCTTAGAATTCCTTACTTTTTTTGTGTGAATTCACAACGACTTAAAAAAAAAAAAATTCCTGAAACCACACAATCCATAGGGGATATATTTATTACTATTATATTGTAGCCTTATTGCATGGGCAGGAGTGTTACACAACCACAACCTCTCAGATCATACTCCGTTCTACTTTCATGTCTGAGTCCTGGTTGTGTTTGACTAAAATCACTTTGCCATATATCTTAAACAACACCTCTTTAGAATTTGCTCCTATCAATTCTTATTTTTTTAAAATCTTTTTTCAGTATACAGGGATTTGTATATTTTATTATGTGATTCAATTTATAAAACTGAAAAATTACTGAATCACCAAGCATCACCAAAACCGTTTCAATGCGCTAGACTTTGTGTCTGCTAATCTGTGGAAGGTTATAGGAAAGGATGCACACATTCTTCCAAAATATATTTGGCAGAGAGCACTGCTGATCATTTTCACAATTATGAAAACATTCAGTTACCCCCGGATACTCTACGGATAGGGGCACTGTCATCCTGAAAAGGTAGGTGAATAAAGGTGATCAGTCAGAACTCATGACCTCTTGATTTCGGTCACTGTTCCTTCTCAGAGCATAAGTCGATCCAAACTATGCCAAAAAAAAAAACAAAAAAAAACAAACCTAATAAATGCCCCTTATAGCACATAAGAACCACCACTTCCACTAATTTTGGGGCTCAGGAGTTTACTACTTTCCTTTAATTTGTCATACAACAACGGTCACCCTGCCCAACCCCCTCTACCCTAGCTTTGACCCTTCACCTAGATTTCTCTCCTGGAGAATGACAGAGCCCTATGTGCAGAATCACAAGACTAATACTGACTGCGTATCGACAAATTATATAAGTCCAAATAAAGCAACAAAATATAACCTTATAGTATCGACGAAATCTAAAATAAAAACAGCGATTTAGCTGGAAGCTGCATGCAAGTCTAGCTCAACTAGCTAGCTACTTGTGAGCTAAAATTTAATCAGCAAAAATTCCTGCCGCTGTGTTTGAGATGAAAAAAATCAGTTTGCAGAACCCGTATAACAGCTTTTAACTTTCTAACCTCACCAGATACGTTTAAGCTCACCTGTTTTTATGGTTTATATCCCAGCACACTGCTTCCCTGTCTAAAGACCGGCCAGACCCACCAGGACTACAAAAACTGCTTTAAAGGACCCACCCAGTGACTAAGCCGACCAACGATGTGCCTGAAGCAAAACAATAAAGCACACATTAATATTAACAAATTACACTGCTGTTCACATTCATTATAACCTGCATCACAACTAGGTCCTTCTCTAAAACTAAAAAATAACGACTTGAAATATTAATCTTTTAAACTAAGACACTTTTCAAGCCCCACCGGCGGCCTATATTAAACGGTACTCTTGCGCCCTCACCGGTCAGTCATCGTAATAGATTTTGTTGATTGCACTTGTATGTATGTTGCGGTTGACGCTTTACTAAAGCTTCAGGTGGAAATGGCAGTAACTCGTGCAGCAGGTGTTTTCTCCAAGTTTGCAACAGGCAAACACCCTTTATTGTCAGGTATATTTAAAATCACTCATCTTTTGTTGATGTTGTTGAAGGTACTTTAATTTAACTTTTGTCGTTTTAATTTACTCTTTGTCGAATTTGTACTCGATGGTAGCATTTGACTTCAAGCTGTTAGTGGATAACTGAAAATATAATAACTCAGAATTTGCTTTTTTTTTTCTTGAAAAATTACTCAAGTGGTTTAAAAAAACGTTGTAAAGGGAGATATTTTTCAAATGGAACTGTGGGTAAAACATTTTTAATTACATTAATTATTAAAAGCTGGCATATAATTAGATATTCTGCACTGACGTTAGTAACGCCTGTGTTTACTGTCTGTTGCAGTAAAAGGTTTAATGTTAGAGTTTTTAGTTTTTTGGTGATAACAGCATACAGGGCTGCAATACTAAGTTACTGTCTTAATTTCTGTCTTTCTGCTCAGTCACAACTAACTTTAGCAGAATTGTATTAACTTGTTCTTTTCCTTATGTTAGGGGAAACTTGTCCTAGAGGAAAGTCAAGGGCCTCTCCTTTTTATTCAGGAGCACTCAAAATTCTTATTGCCTCTTTCTGCTCTTAGGTCGTGCCAGACGGATTTTCTCTGTATCATCACATTTGGCAGGTAAAGAGGGTTTTGATGATGATCGGTGCACCAAATACCCAAGAGTACACTCACATCCATCACAAATCGGTGGCTTACTAAAGAACCAACGATTCTTTAGTAAAGGTTCAGCTGTATTAATTTAGTGTGGTCTGTGTTCCCCCAACATCCAGGTGCTATCTTAAACAAAAGTAATATTCATATAGTGTTGACTCATTTAGATGAACTGTTTGCATACTTTAGTTCTTGTTAAAGATTAGCAAAACAGGTTTTTGCACAGCTGTTCTGCAAACATTTATCTTTAAAATCTGCATTGTACTTTCTTTCCTATCTTGTTATAGCTTGACTTGTTACTGCTCATTATAGTTTACGAGAATAATGTGAAACCATTGGTAACAATGTTGCTCCATTATGTTTCATTAGCATATGCATGCACAGTACAAGCAAAACAAGGCTGGAGTGTTAAACCAAAGTCTTTCTACAAGCAAGTCCCATTCCTCAGAGGTCATATCAAAGTGTCTCTCAGTAATTATTTGGGCAGTTAATTTAGATAATACTTCAAAATAAAGTTTAAATTCAGTGCTTAAGAACATGAAACTGTATGCATGGAATTGCCTAAATCTAATAAAACAGATTAAAAGTTGTAAAGGGAAGTAAAGTTTTATAAAAAAGAAACTTAAGTGTTACAAAATTCTCACTTTTTTTTGAGTAAAATATCTGCTTATACAAGAAAATATTACTGTAATCTATCTCATTCTTTAATTGCTGTTTTCTCTTTTTTAGCTCATAAACATATCAGCTTCGAGTACAAGGACGATGTGGCTGTTATACGATTCAATGATCCAACATCGAAGGTGTGTGCGTCTGTTTGTGGATATGAAACAGTACACGTCTTAGAGAGAGATTAAGTTTGTAACAGTCCTGACTACATGTTTCACTCTTGAAATGACATAATTTTGTTGTTTTGTGTGTGTAGGTGAACAAACAGTCTCTGCAGTTGCATGAGTTGGCTGACGTGTTGGGAGACATCTGGCTTTATAGATCTTCAAAAAGTGTTGTCCTCATTTCAGGCAAACTTACTGGTTTGCTTACTGCTCCAGCAGATAGCAAGTAGGCTTTTGAGGGCTTTCACAGTCTCTGATGTGTGTGGTGTATTCTGTGTTGCTTTTTGTTTTGTTTGTTTGTTTTGTAAGTGTAAAAGTGCAAGTAAACCAGGACGTATTTTACGAAAAAAGTCAAATGGATCAAATTTAATATGCTTAATTGAAAAGTGAGTAATTTATCTTGATTTTTTTTTTCTTTGCTCTCAGTATGCTTCAGTCCTGTACAACTAGTGAGGAGGTCGCCAGTCTCTGTGAGGAAGCTCAGAAGTTGTTTAAGAGAATTGAGCAGTCTCGTGTCCCCATTGTCGCCGCTATCCATGGCTCATGCCTGAGTCGAGGCCTTGAGGTACAACAGTTTGTGTCAAAATGCCAACTTGGCTTAAAATATGGGCAGTAACTCTCAGTTTTGTAACTTTTGTGTAGCTTGCAACAGCCTGCCACTACAGAATTGCCACGAAGAGTAAAGAAACAGTCCTGGGGACTCCGGAGGTCATGTTGGGACTGCTGCCGGGAGCAGGTGGCACTCAGAGACTACCTAAAATGGTATAAATGCACACACTCATATTAATCAGTTCCTCAGTGAAAGTCTTGAAAGCATTGCTGCAGTCTTGTGCTAGTGGCTACTGCAGTACACAGGAGTATAATAAGGTCAAGGCTCTCACTTGGGCCAATACCAGCTCACTGTCTTCAATTCTGCTTGTTGCACATGTTTAGGTGGGTCTCCTGGGAGCTTTTGATATGCTGCTGTCAGGCAAGAACATCACAGCAGACGAAGCCAAGAAGATGGGTCTAGTGGACCAGCTTGTGGACCCTCTGGGTATGTTATACATGTGGCATTTCTTCAATGAATGTACCGTTTTTCTGTTGTAATCTTAAGGGAGAGAGTGGTGGGGAATTAAACTTTTTAGCAGCTCAAGACTGAGCCTTCAATTAGTGACATGTTTCATTTTTCTCTGTGCTTCTTTTATATTTATATTTCAGGTCCTGGTCTGAAGTCTCCAGAGGAACGAACGATGGAATACCTTGAGGAAGTTGCAGTGGGTGTTGCCAATGACTTGGCCAACAAAAAGATTCCCCTTACTAGGGAAAAAAGCTTTAGACTGAGTGAGTGAACTCGTGTTCAGCCCAGTTGTCTTTATACCGCCAAGGATTTGTTCCATGAAATCATTTGCAACTGGCTTGTTTTTTCAGTCCCAGCGGTTGGGGCCACCAACTGCAGTTTCTTGAATGGCCACTTGAGGTGTCAAAACACACCAATGAGAATTCAAGGATGTTGTCAAATTTCAGTTTTATCATTTAAAATTTTAACTGATAAACTGTCTATGGTATCTTCTAATTGGCAAATACCAGCTGTACACATTTACACAACAAACAATGAAAACCTGTCACTGTAAACGTGTGTGTGCAGAGCTGTGGGACGCAGTCACGGGCCTGGGTCCAGTGAGGAAGATCATCTACAGCACTGTCACTAAAAGAGTCCAGAAACAAACTAAAAACCTCTACCCTGCTCCGTTCCAGATTATTGAGGTAAAGAGTACACTTATGGGTGAAGATAAACACATTAGCGCATGATGTTGCTGCTGAGTGTCTCATGCTGTCTTATTTTAATGTGCAGTGTGTTAAAACTGGCATAGAGCACGGCAGTAACGCAGGTTATTTGGCTGAAGCTCAGGTGAGTTGGACTAACAGAATTTTTTTTTTTTTTTTTTTTTCTCAGTCAGATGGATTTTTAAAAAAAATCCTCCTGGCCTTTTGGTAGATGTCATACATGTGCTGCATTTTGACCATTGTGACCTTTTGTGTTTTGCTGGGTGTTTTTTCTGTTTTGTTTTTTCACTCTGTAGTTAGTGTTGGGAAAAGAGCAGAGTTTGGGTTACAACAGGAACCTTCCTCATTCATCAAATGATGAATGTGGAGTGACAGACTCCTCTCACTAATGCCATAAGTATGTGCATAAAGCCCCATCACCAATGAACACCTTAGGCCTAAACGAGTCATGCCAAGAGCTTTGACAAAATGGCATTAATTGATGTCCCGGGAATGAGAATGGGCTGCTTAACAGTTTAGGCTTGTGGGTTTCATTGATGACTCTATAATCAAGTTTTTGGATGTGTTGTTGTTAAAGAGACTAATTGTATTTGTTAAATTCTTGTTGCTTTTAACCCTTCATAGAGCTTTGGTAAGTTGGTGATGACTTCTGAATCCAAAGCTTTGATTGGACTTCACAATGGTCGTTTGTTGTGTAAGAAGAACCGATTTGGTCCCCCAGAAAAGGAAGTAAAGTAAGAACTGTAAACAGGGGTGATTTATGTTGCCATATACATTTGCTGTCTATATACAGTTGCCTCAGTGATAGCAGTAAGACACCTGTACAAAATGTTTGCAACAGAAAGCTGGCCATTCTGGGTGCAGGGCTAATGGGAGCAGGTATAGCACAGGTATCTGTAGATAAAGGCCTCACCAGCATCCTAAAGGACACCACAGAGGATGCCATCAGCAAAGGATATGAAAAGGTTCATAAAAGGTAATATAAACGCATTCTATATTATTTATTTATTTAATTTATTGAAAAATAAAAGTGGCTTTACAGTTTGAAGTATTTTTGTTTGTTTGGGTTTTTTGTTTTTCTCCTCAAAATGTTCTTGATCTTCAGTTTCGACACCAAGGTGAAGAAGAAAGCCATGATATCATTTGAGCGTGACGCCATTATGTCTAATCTGTCGATTCAGACGGATTACTCTGGTTTTGAGTCTGCTGACATGGTGATAGAGGCTGTGTTTGAAGACCTCAACATTAAACATAAAGTCCTCAAGGAGGTGGAGGCAGTGAGTGCAGTTTTGCTTGAACTACTCTGTCTTTAACTGTTTTAGTTAGAGGTGGTTAAATTGGCATTGAAAATGTATTACAATAAATGGGCATCTAAGAACTTCTAAATTACTTTGAGCAAGAACTGGTGCAGAACTAACCTGTTTGGAGAAATCTCGCCTTAATTTAGGTTTTAACTTGAGAAAATTCTCAGGCCAACCCACAGTAACTGTTAAAGAACTTAGTGGGATTGATGTAGATGAGGCTTTCCTTTTCTTGTTTGGAGTTTCAATCATTTTTGAGAAGCTTTTGGTTGCATGCAGGTAGTATTATGTCATTATTATTCTAGCATAGCTATATTAGCTGTTTAACAGTTATTTTCTGTCTAAGACTTATTTGCATTACTAAGTAATCAGGATCAGCTTACCATTCACACAAACACGATTCTAATGCTTTATTTTTAAATTATAGGTTGTAAATCTGGAAAAGGATTCTTTCTCTATGGAAAGACTAAGAGTGTGAATCCTGAAGTAGAAGAAATTCTCAAGAACCATCAAGTGACTGCTCCCTCTGCAATGTAAGAAAACAGCCTCTCGTCTGATCTACTAATTGCCCTGTTCTGATCTGTCTCTCTGAAGTTATGTGTTTGCTGCAGTTCTTCAGAATACGACATGCAGTACCGGCTGCTGTCTCGCTGCATAAACGAGTCGTTAATGTGTCTCCAGGAGGGAATAATACAAAGCCCTCTAGAAGGAGACATTGGAGCAGTGTTTGGGTATGGGTTTCCTCCCATGCACGGTGGTATGTCTCCAACATTTGTATACTTTTGAACTAGATATTTATATTAGTAAACTGATGGTTATCGATTGTGTTGGTGCTAATCGACCTTTTGTTATTCCTACATTTATCAGGTCCGTTCAGATTTGTTGACACATTTGGTGCAGAGCGCCTTGTGAGCCTCATGAAACGTTTTGAGGATGTTTATGGAAACCAGTTTACACCCTGCCAGCTTCTACTAGACCACACCAAAGACCCCAGCAAAAGGTTTTATCAATCATCCCCCTCCCTGCTTCAATACTAAAAACAACTTAGCGTTTTGAGAGAGGGACTAGTCCCCCCTTTGGTATGTCTGAACTGTTAGAGCAGCAAATATGTCTTCTAAGATCAAACTAAAGGAATCAACCTAAAATAATCCAAGGAAAGATTTCAGAATAAGGTAACAGCTCATTTATGAAAATAAGCTGCTATTAAAAAATAATTGTATAACTATAAACAACATTTCTAGGAGACCAAATGGTCTATTATAACTATCTACCAGCTTTACAGATTTCCGCTTACATCATTTATATAATCAGAAAGTGATACTTTCATGTATTATGTGTTATGGCTCAAGTGGGTGTGACCACCAAACTTTTTCTTTTCATCTTTTTGGGGTGTTTTCTTTCTTTTAATTTATTTATATTTTTTTATACAAATTGTGGTAATGTGTCCAACCTCCCTTGACCTATGCTAAATTAGCCATAACCCATTTTGGCCCGCAACATGACCAAATGAAGCCCAGATGTTGCAGCTATCTGGATTCTATCTGGCACCAGTGTTAACTCAAACTCCCAACAACCAAAATAAAAAGTGAAGGTTGCATTAAAACATCAGGTGTCATTCGGTTTATTTTTTTGATCTCTCCTTTATTTCTTCAGTGGCTTTGTAGTTACAAGATTGCAGAGTAGATCAGTATTACATGAGTGTAGTAGATCAGAGTGAAACTTTACTTCAGCTTTTGCCCTGGCTGAAACCCATCAAATCTGGGGATAATAGTAAAAAAAATTACAGGTAGTGATTCACAACAACATAAATTGCATTGTCAGTTATTTGGATCATTTGGATGATCTTGCTTTGTGATTGCCCTCAGTGTAGCCAGTTATATTACAATACTCTCCTCAGGATACACCCCTCAAATGGAACACACAGGTAAGAGCAGAGATCTAGTTTGGGGCCGGGGGGGGGCATCTGCCCCTCTCTCAGCAGATTTGTTCAACGGCTCAGTAACACAAATATCTAGTCAACCACATGACAGCAACTTAGTGTATTTATGCATGTAAACATAGCAAAGATGACCTCCTGAACTTTAAATTGAGCATCAGAATATGGAAGGAAGATGATTAAAGTGACTCTAAATGTGGCATGATTGTTGGTGCTAGATGGGCTGGTTTGGGTATTTCAGAAACTGCTGATCTATTGGGATTTTTGCCACACAATCTCTAGGATTTACAGAGTAGTATTGTTTTTTTGTTTTTGTTTTTTTTTTTTTAAAGGGAAAATATCTACTAAGCAGCAGTTGCCTTGTTTGGTGCCAGAGGTCCGAAAACAACCAGAATGCTTCAAGCTGACAGGAAACGAACAGTAACTCATGTAACAACTCATTACAACCAAAGTACACAGAAGAAAACCCCTGAACGCACAACAAGTCGAACATTTAAGCAGATGGGCTACAGCAGTAGGTGTCAGCTAAAATGAAACTCAGGCTACAGTTTAGATGGGCTCACCAAAATTGGATAACAAAAGACTGAAAAAACTCTGCCTGAATCTCAATTTCCGCTGTGACATTCAGAATTTGCATAAACATGAAAGCATGAATCTATCCTGGCTCATAACAACTTCTCAGGCTCCTGCTGGTGGTGTAATGGTGTAGGGGATAACCTTAATAGCAACATTGCTGACCATGTCTATGCCTTTATGGGCACAGTGTATTAATCTGATGGCTAATTCCAACAGGATAAAAATTTCAAACTGTGGTTTTTGAACACACCAATGAGTTTGCTGTACTCAGATGGCATTTTTGGCATGTGGTGAAAAAGGAGATTCACATGACAGATGTGTAGTCAACAAATCATGTCAATGTAAGCCAAATTTTCCAGCACCTTGTTGAATCTATGCTACAAAGAATTAATACTTCTGAATACCAAGGTGTAAAAACATCTCATTTTTAATGCTCTAAGAAGAGAAACTGAAGTGTTGTGCTTATTATCATTTTTCTGACTCAGTGATTTTAGGTAGAAATTTTTTTGTTTATTTATTATACATTTTTATGTGAGTTTCTTTTTAATTCATTGAACAAACTTCCCAGCTGTTCTGTCCAAGACTTAATAACTTGGGCTTTTTTATGCTATGTAGAAAAGCAAAGAGTAGCTGTGTTAACTTATTACAAAATTCGACTACATTCATTATCAGTTTCTAATGTCTGCTATCTGAAGATGAGGTTTGTGCTGATAACCTCATGCTCGGCCAGGTGGAGCAAGTTCAATGAAGAATTTTCCCCTGTCTCTCTCGCTGTTGCTTTTCTGTCTTTATTTTAGGTCATCTGCAGATGTTACAAGAGATTATAACAGAAACAAAGCACTCACAGATGGATCTAAAACAGTGGGTGAAAAAGGCAGCAAAGGTAGTGGCAGAAATATTAGCTTTCCAAGGAAACTGAGTGGTGACAATTCCTGATATTGTAGGACTTTGATCAATCTATGTGGATGAGAAATCTGAGGTACTCTTACAACTCCATTTCTGAGTTTTACTATAACACTCATTGTTACCTTTAAAGGGACTGTTAATAAAAATATCATCCCTCCCGAAGCATAGACTGACCTGTACCAAAAGAAATCAGTCCAAAACCTCAGTAATTTTGTCAATGACTGCTCAGAGGTTTGATATTTTTCATATTTTCCTCATTGTTCTTTTGAAGGTAGTTTTAATTTACAACAACCTCCCACTTTCTGTGCCAATTATTTATTCACTGAAACTCGGTGAATAAAGAAGGATGTCTAAATGACCTGTATAGGGTCAAAATGTTACAATTCCTTAAATTACCTTGTCTTGAAATTAATTTAACACCTATTGATGACTAAATAAAGTGTCTAAAAAGTGCTGAAATTCTGTTCATTCATCAAATCTCATTTAAAATAAAATGATAGAAATTTCCCCTGCATATCAAATTCTAAGTTGAACGGTGTGAACGCCACACATTGTTTAAATCAGACTTTAAGTTCCAAAGAGGGCACTTTTATCCTGGAGCTCTCTGTTGTAGCCATTTGTTAGTAAACTAGTGCCAGACTGTGATTCAGACAGGAAACATGTCAGTCTGACTTTGAGCATTAGAGCCAGTCAAGTGTCAATTCTGCAGTTTGACCACAGTGTGGCGTAGTTTCCTTCAGTTTCATTCATTGGGCTCAGCAGCCAGTTGGTCACAGTGGAAGGCACATTCAGGGAGGCTCAGCAGCCAACAGGCACATTCTCAGGACAGTGTGTATATTAGATTTTGGGCCTCCAGCCCTGTATGAATTGTGTGATCTTGGTCACATGGAGTCGGCTCAGGTGGAAGTCATGTGACAAGATATCTTCAGTCAGCTGCACCAGCAAGCTGCCATCGATTCGCTCCCTTTGGAACACGGACACCGCTGCCTCTGATAGGCCAATAAACCGCAGGCAAGCTGAGACTTCCTCCAATGACAGAGCAGACAGGTCAGCGGGAGGTCGCCAGGTAGGGTCAGGGAGCGGGGACAACCCCTCAGGGACTCCTGTTGATGTCCCACCACCCTCCGCGCCTCTGGAAGAATCTGTTGTGGAATTGGGAGCAGGCTCAGGTGAGGGACAAGGGGACTGGCGGTTGAAGGGGTTCAACGCCCCAAAGGGAGCAAATCGACTCTGTGGGGGTGGCGGTCTGAGTCGAAGTCCAGAGGAAGTGAAGGAATCCACCCATGGCTCTGCCCAGGTGGCTTGTGCAGGCTGAGGATTGGCTGTGTTGTCTGTAGGGATGCCAGAGACGGGCTCAGGACTAGTAGGATTAGGGGCAGAGCAGTCACCCCAAGAGCACGGGTAACAGTAGAGGGAGGCATCGGGGGAGGGGGAGCAACTGGGACAAGACAGAGAAAATGGAAATGTTACATATCAGCTACATATCATATTTACAAAAGTATTTAAATGACCATATTTCAAGTTCCAGCAGCTACCTGCTGAAAAATTCTCCTTAGCTTGCTGTCAATTCATAAAAAAATGTATCATTCCATATATCGTCTATTTATAGAACAAGCAAACAATCAATATGGAGCTTCATATTGTAAAATGGCATTGCTTTCTGTGCTTCTGTCAGTTCAGATTAGATAACCTTCCCATACTTTCTTTCCATATACCTTATAATCTTCTTTAAAGGGCAAGAACGGGAAATCTGTAAGCAGTAACCTTTCAGAGCTGAAAAATGCAGCCAAAAAAAAAAGACTTCCCCGCATATTGGTGACTTATCAGACAAATATTATTGCTCGTCAGGTGGGTTGCACTAAGGAAAAAACAATCTAAACTTGAGACTTGAAAATAGAAGTCCACAAACTAATGGGTGTCTACATCCATATCTTTTGGACATTTTTCATTGCAATTTATTTGGAAACAGCCATTGCAGTAGCTCTGTTTGAAGCTACAGTATTTGGACTCTTGCAGTAGTTTGGAACTCGAGGAACTTCATTCTCTCCCTTTTCGTGTAATCAATCATGTCAAGCAGTGAAACCAGAAAAGGCTTTCAATCCTCTCTAAAATGATACCAGTATGTCAAAATAAGGATTTACGCATTACGTGTTTTATACTGTACCTGTCTTGTAGTCCAGAGGAGTAAAAGGAGATGTTTGGTCTCGGGGAGGTGGACGTTTTGGGGAAGCGAGGTGGAACAGGAGGGCTGGGAGCTGGACTGGAGATGGAGCCTCCTTTGGAGCAACGAGGGGGAACTGGAGGGGCGATCAAATAGCGACACTCCTCTCTCACCTTCAAGCACAAGCCACACACACAGAAACATAAGCATAACAATAACACACACAACAGCCAAATAAAAAAAGGTTAATCTTAAAAATAGACTTCTCAGGAGGCTTTGTGCAAGTGTGTGCGAGTGTGAGTGTGTGCAACACATAGTAAATGTCAAACTTTGTGACCTTTACAACTCAAACAAACTCCTTACACACACACAGTAGCAGCATCTAGACACACACACACACACACACACACACACAGTGTCTTGGCAGGCTAAATATCAGGAGAACGCTATGTGTGACA